AGAAATAAACTCACACACCTATGGTCACCAAAAAGAACCAAGAATATACAATGAAGAAAAGACAGTATCTTCAATAAACAGTGCTGGGAAAACTAGACAGATACATGTAAAGAAGTGAAATGAGAACATTCTCTAACACCATACAAAAAATAAAAGTCAAAAAGGATTAAAGATCTAAAGTTAAGGCCAGATACTATAAAATGACCAGAGGAAAATAGAGAACAATCAAGGACATGAATCACAGCAAAAGTTTTTGTATCCATCTCCTGGAGTATATTAAATAAAAGCGAAAGTAAACAAATGGGACCTAAGTAAATTTAAAAGCTTTGCACAGCAAAGGAAATTATCAACAAAATTTAAAGACAACCCACTAAACGGGAGAAAATTTTTGCAAATTATATGACCAATAAGGGGTTAATCCAACATATATAAACAGTTCATATGACACAATATGAAAACAAACAAACAACCCAATTAAAAAGGGGATAAAAAACTGAATAGACATTTTACCAAGGAGGAAATGAAGATGGCCACAGGCATATGAAAAGATGCTCAAAATCACTAATCATCAGGAAAATGCTAATCAAAACCAAAACCACAATGAGATATTTCCTAACACCATTATGGCTACTGCTAAAAATAAAACAAATAACAAAGTTGGCAAGGATATGAAGAAAAGAGAACACTCAAACGCTATTGGTGGGAATGTAAATTGGTGTAGCCACTGGGCAAAACAGTATAGAGGTTTATTAAAAAAACTTAATATATAATTATCATATAACTCAGCAATTCCTCTCCTGGGTATATATATCTGCAAAAAACAAAAACACTAATTTGAAAAGGTCTATGCCTAGAAATGTTTATGTTGTTGTTCAGTTGCCAAGTCATGTCCAGCTCTTTGCGAGCCCATGGACTGCAGCACGCTAGACCTCCCTGTCCCTCACCATCTCCCAGTTTGCCCAAGTTCATGTCCATTGACTTGGTGATGCCATCCAGCCATCTCATCCTCTGTTGTTCTCTTCTCTTTCTGCCTTCAATCTCTCCTGGCGTCAGGGTCTTTTCCAATGAGTCAGCTCTTTGCATCAGATGGCCAAAGTACTGAAACTTCAGGATCACCATCAGTCCTTTCAATGAATATTCAGGGTTAATATCCTTCAGGATTAACTTGTTTGACCTCCTCACTGTCCACAGGACTCTCAAGAGTCCAGCACCATGGTTCAAAAGCATCAATTATTCGATTTTTTATGGTCCAATTCTCACATCTGTATATGATTACCGGAAAGACCACAACCTTGACTATATAGACCATTGACGGCAAAATGATGTCTTTGCTTTTTAATACACTGTCTAGGTTTGTCATGGGCTTTCCTGGTGGGTCAGCAGTCAAGAATCCGCCTGCAAGGCAGGAGATGCAGGTTTGATCCCTGGGTGGGGAAGATCTCCTGGAGGAGGAGAATCCCAATGACAAAGGAGCCTGGTGAGCTATGGTCCACTGGGTCACAAAGAGTCAGACACAACTGAAGCGACTGAGCACTGTTTACCACAGCTTTTCCTTCCAAGAAGCAATCATCTTCTAGTTTCCATGACTGCAGTCACCATACACAGGGATTTTAGAGCCCAAGAAGAGGAAATCTTTCACTGCTTCCACCTTTTCCCCTTCAATTTGTAATGAAGAGAGGGGACCAAATGCCATTTTAGTTATTTTAATATTGAGTTTTAAGCCGGCTTTTCCACTCTCTTCTTTCACCCTCATCAAGAGGCTCTTTAGTTCCACCTCACTTTTTGCCATTACAGTAACGTCATCTGCATATCTGAGGTTGTTGATGTTTCTCCTGGCAACCTTGATTCCAGCCTGTAAGTCATCCAGCCCAGCACTTCACATGATGTACTAAGCTAAGCACATCGTGTATAAGCTGAATAAACAGGGTGACAACACACAGCCTCGCTGTACTCCTTTCTCGATTTTGAACCAGTTTGTTGTTCCATATAAGGTTCTAACTTGCTTCTTGACCTTCATACAGGTTTTGCAGGAGACAAGTAAGATGATCTGGTATTCCCATCTCTTTAAGAATTTTCCACAGTTTGTTATGACCCACACAGTCAAAGTCTTTAGCATAGTTAATGAAACAGAAATAGATGTTTTCCTGGAATTCCCTTGCTTTCTCTATGATCCAGTCAAAGCTGGCAATTTCATCTCTGGTTCCTCTGCCTTTTCTAAACCCAGTTTATACATCTTGGAAGTTCTTGTTTCATGTAATGCTAAAGCCTAGACCGAAGGATTTTGAGCATAACTTTATTAGCATGGAAAGTGAACCTTACTAGCATGGAAAGTGAGTGCAAGTGTCCAGTAGTTTGAACATTCTTTAGCACTGACCTTCTTGGGAATTGGGACGAAGATTGACCTTTTCCAGTCCTGTGGCCACTGTTAGGTTTTCCAAATTTGCTGACATATTGAATGCAACACTTTAACAGCATCATGTTTTAGGATTTTAGGAGCTGCTGGAATTCCATCACCTCCACTAGCTTTATTGGCAGCAGTGCTTCCTAATGTCCTTTTGACTTCACACTCCAGGATGTCTGGCTCTAGGTGAGTGATCACACCAATGTGGTTATCCGGGTCATTAAGATCTTTTGTGTACAGTTCTTCTGTGTGTTCTTGACATCTCTTCTTGATCTCGCCTGCTTCTGTTAGGTCTTCACCATTTCTGTCCTTTACTGTGCCCATATTTACATGAAATGTTCCTTTGATATTTCCAATTTTCTTGAAGAGATCTCTGGTCTCCTTCATGGTCACTGCCTTGTCATGGTGAAGGGGCTTGTGTAACTCTATGAAGCTATGAACCAGGGCCACTCAAGATGGATGGTTTCCACTGGGGAGTTCTGACATAATGTGGTCCACTGGAGGAAGGCATGGCAAAACCACCCCAGTATTCTTGCTGTGAGAACCCCATGAACTGTATAAAAAGCCAAATGTTCATCAGTTCATTCAGTTCAGTTGCTCAGTCGTGTCTGACTCTTTACAACCACATGGACTACAGCATGCCAGGATTCCCTGTCCATCACCAACTCCTGGAGCTTGCTCAAACTCATGTCCATCGAGTTGGTGATACCATCCAACCATCTCACCCTCTGCCATCCCCTTTTCCTCCTGCCTTCAATCTTCCCCAGCTTCGGGGTCTTTTCCAATGAGTCAGTTCTTCACATCAGTTGGTCAAAGTATTTGAGTTTCAGTTTCAGCATCAGTCCTTCCAATGAATATTCAGGACTGATTTCCCTTAGGATTGACTGGTTGGAAAATGTTCATAGCAGCATTATTTACAATAGCCAAGATATGAAAGCATCTTAAGTGTCCATCAACAGATGAATGGATAAAGAAGTTAAAAAGAACAGAATTTTGCTATCTGCAGCAACAGGGATGGACTTGGATGGCACTAGGCATTGTGGGAGCTGAAACAAGGCAGAGAAGGACAAATACTGTGTGATATCACTGAGACTGGAATCTAAAAAACACAACAAACTAATGAATAAACGGGGAAAGGAGCAGACACAGAGATATAGAGAACAAACTGGTGGTTACCAGGACCCATGAGCAGGGTGCTATGGGGTGGCGGAGCTGAAGGTACAAACTACCACAAGTAAGACAGGCTCAAGGATGTACTGTACAACATGGAGAATACAGCCAATATTTTGTAATAACTGTAAATGGAAACTAAACTTTCAAAATTATACTAAATTTCTTTTTAATTTTTAAAAAGAGAAAAGACATATAAATGGTTTTACTTTTGAATTAAAATTTTCTCTAATAATGCAGATTTCAATCTTTTGTCTGGGATATAATAAAGGTAATAGGAGATTCTATTGGTCACATGTATCAGGAGTCTGGATTTCCAAAAGAAATGCAAGAGAAATAGTCTAGTGATATCTTCTATAATAAGGGTCAGCAAAATTTTAAAAACTTTTAAAAAATTAAAACCTATAATAAAAGTTTTAATTTAAATAAAATAATTTGGGCATTGCAGATCATAAATTTTTTCTTATAACTCTCAATTCTGCCCTTGTAGCATGAAAGCAGCCAAAAACAGTACTTATAAAAGGATATATCTATGTTACTATAAAATTTCATTCACACAAACAGGCAGGAGGCTGGACTTAGTACAAAGCATGCAGTTCACAACTCTTGCACCAGAATCTAAGCTACAAAAAGTCTTTGCTCTGCTTCATTATGTATAAATGTACCTAGAACACTGGCCGGTAAATAGCAGGCACTCAAATATACATTCATATAATACTCTTTTCATAGAAAAAGGAAAAGAAATCTATAGTTCTATTATATATCTATTCCATTTAATGTGTATTTCAAGAAAAGAAGTAGGTCATTACAGAAGTACTCAACTTAAGTGTTACTTCAATTTAAAACTTGACCTGAAAATCAAGATTAAACTATGAAGCATGGTTAGTAAAGTCTCTAAAAGAAAAAATGTATTCATAATCTAGGTCAACTACTATTTTAAAGGAACATAACAGTGAACCTATGTATAAGCACCTACACCCTCAAAAAAAAAGAGTGAGAAAGAGAATTTTAAATTCAAAACAGTATCTTTAGGAAAGACCAATGTTTTTCTCATTACAAATTCAGTAACAAGAAAGCATCTTTCCTCACTTGTCCCACAGAGGCCAAGAATCTCATAAGAAGAATTTTCACGGCTGAGAATCTCATAAGAAGAATTTTCACAGCAGTCTTATGGCTGTCGTAACCAATTATAAGGACTACAATTGCAGAGGGCCGGAAAATCAGGAATAAATATTCACATAAGCCATTAAACAAATAAGGATTTGCTAGACCAGGTACGATGAAAATAATTTCTTCTTCATCTGTAGAATTATATTTACTTCAACTCTGGTCACTGAGCCAAATGGTCTCTTTCTCAAATAAGATATGGAAATTACAAAGATTCTAAACTGTAGGGTTATTTCTTTTATTGAGAAAAAGTAATACTTACAGACTTTCTGATGTCTTTTGAAGAGAGATCAATCAATTTCTTGTTTATAGACCATTCTTCATCAGATTCCATTATGGCTTTCTAAGAAATAGCCATTTGTTAATGAAAATATACAAGTAAATACAAAGAGGCAGTTTAAAAATAAAGTAGTACAGTGAATTAGCTATAGGGTATAATATAGATGTTAGGTTATTATTTTGAATGAATTAAGTCTTTAATTTTTATTACTTAAAATTGCAATTTCTTGATTTCATACAAGTCTGATCTTCAGCCAGACTGATTCTATCTTACTCATTCTATACTCCTGTACATCAAAATTCACAAATTTCCTACTCCATTCATAGCATGTATGCATGCTCAGCCCTTCAGCCGTGTCTGACTCTTTGCGACCCCATGGACTGTAGCTTGCCAGGCTCCTCTGTCCACTACATTATTCCAGCAAGAATACTGGAGTGGCTTCTATTTCCTCCTTTAGGGGATCTTCCCAAACCCAGGGATCAAATCCATGTATCTTGCAGCTCCTGCACTGGGAGGCAGATTCTTTTTATTTATTTATTTACTTACTTATTTTAATTGGAGGCTAATTACAAGTACACAAGTAATGCAAAAAAGAAATCCAAAAAAGCAAAATGGCTGTCTGAGGAGGCCTCACAAATAGCTGTGAAAAGAACAGAAAGGAAAAGCAAAGGAGAAAACGAAAGATATACCCATTCGAATGCGGAGTTCCAAAGATAGCAAGGAGAGATAAGAAAGTCTTCCTCAGTGATCAGTGCAAAGAAACAGAGGAAAACAAAAGAATGGGAAGGACTAGAGATCTCCTCAAGAAAATTAGAGATACCAAGGGACCATTTCATGCAAAGATGGGTTCAATAAAGGACAGAAACGGTATGGACCTAACAGAAGCAGAAGATATTAAGAAGAAGTTGCAAGAATACACAAAAGAACTATACAAAAAGGATCTTCACGACCGAGATAATCATGATGGTGTGATCACTGACCTAGAGCCAGACATCCTGGAATGTGAAGTCAAGTGGGCCTTAGGAAGCATCAATATGAACAAAGCTAGGGGAAGCAATGGAATTCCAGTTGAGCTATTTCAAATCCTAAAAGATGATGCTGTGAAAGTGCTGTACTCAATATGTCAGCAAATGTGGAAAACTCAGCAGTGGCCACAGGACTGGAAAAGGTCAGTTTTCATTCCAATCCCAAAAAAAGGCAATGCCAAAGTATGCTCAAACTACTGCACAATTGAACTCATCTCACATGCTAGTAAAGTAATGCTCAAAATTCTCCAAGCCAGGCTTCAGCAATACGTGAACTGAGAACTTCCAGATGTTCAAGGTGGTTTTAGAAAAGGTAGAGGAACCAGAGATCCAATTGCCAACATCTTGGATCATTGAAAAAGCAAGAGACTTCCAGAAAAGCATCTATTTCTGCTTTATTGACTATGCCAAAGCCTTTGACTGTATGGATCACCACAAATTGTGGAAAATTCTTAAAAAGATGGGAATACCGGACCACCTGACCTGCCTCTTGAGAAATCTGTATGCAGGTCAGGAAGCAACAGTTAGAACTGGACATGGAACAGACTGGTTCCAAATAGGAAGAGGAGTACATCAAGGCTGTATATTGTCACCCTGCTTATTTAACTTATATGCAGAATACATCATGAAAAACACTGGGCTGGATGAAGCACAAGGTGGAATCAAGATTGCCAGGAGAAATATCAATAACCTCAGATATGCAGGTGATACCACCCTTATGGCAGAAAGCAAAGAAGAACTAAAGAGCCTCTTGATGAAAGTGAAAGAGGAGTGAAAAAGTTGGCATAAAGCTCAACATTCAGAAGACTAAGATCATGGTATCAGATCAGATTTTCACCACCTTATCAACCTTAATAGGTTTTATAATTCTTTTTTAAAAATAATCCCTTTTACTGGGATTTGCAGTCCATATTAATTAAACTTTACCACCCTACACTGTCTAAACTTTGCAAGTTTCTATATCACCTCAACAGAACATTATCTTTTCTAAATGTAGATGTTACAATTCCATATACGGTTCTACATTTACAAATTTATATTAGTCTATAAATTATACTGCACCCAGGTCAGTATTACACACAGGTTATTTAGTTAAACCTGCCTGAACATTATGGGCTTTCCTAGTGGCTCCATGGTAAAGAAACCACCTGGCCAAGCAGGAGACCCAGATTTGATCTCTGGGTCAGGAAAAGCCCTGGAGAAGGAAATGGCAACACACTCATGGGAAATCCCATTGACAGAGAAGCCTGGCAGGCTATAGTCCATGGGGTCACAAAATAGTCAGACACGGCGTAGTGACTGAGCACACACAGATGCATGCTCGAACATTATAATGAAACCTAATCGTTTAAGAACCCTAATCATTTATTATAATTTTCAAAAATGCATGGAAAGATTAGATTTTGGTTTCTTTTTACAAACAGCATGATGAAATATTAAATACTAAGACTTAGAGCAGTAACTTATCTCAGCAATTGTAATTTGTACTATTTGCATGTAACTATCTCTGGCTCTGATGAACTTCAGTGGTAAGTTTCGTAGAGTTATGACTATAATTTTGACTTGAAAGTACTTCAAGGTAAAACTCTGATTTTTCATTTGACAAATTAACATAGAAATTATAAATTACTATTTGATAGTATATTCACACTTACAAATAAGCATGCTTTTAAAGGTCAAAATTTCAAATTTCTTTCTTCAAAAATTTAAACAGCAGAATTTTTGTGCTTTACATCATTTCTTAGTGATATAAAATTGCTAAGTATATAGGAGAAAAATATCAGAATAAAGATAACTGTATTCATAAAACCATAATACAGTAAAAAATAAATATGTATGTAAAGACTATTATAAATACCTTAAAATAGATGGGAGCCATATCACCCACTTCCTTTGGGAGAGGAATACATTCATAAACCATATGGTACTGTTTCTTCATGTTCACATTTGTTTCTAAAAAGATACAGTCCAATCCTTTATCTTCAAACATTTTCACCAACGATTTTCTAAACATCTGAAGAAAGCAAAATGGCTAGGTAAATAAAGCAATGATAGGAGATTCAAAATATGAAAACAATAAAAAGTGTAGCAAATTCTTTTAAAATAAAAAAGAAATATTAAATAATGGTGGAATTCTATAATGTTATCTTATAGTTACTTTACTTTCTAAATCTACCACATTTCACATAGTTAAGCAATATTTTTTTTAACTGAAACTCACTCTGCTCAGTATTATGTATATATCACAAACAGTTTCAGTAAACTAAGAAAAGGAAGTGATAAAATCAAAATTACATGGTAAATTACATAGAACTAACAGTAAAATCATACAAAAACATCCAAAAACCAAAAAATAAGTACTCTCAGCAGGCAGGCATCCTTAAATTCAGTGAGACAAGCAGAATTCACTTCCAATTGGTTTCTAACCTCAAAGTAACTTCATTTGCTAGTTCCCTTTATATGTGTGCTGATCCTTAACTTGCAAATTTTCATTCAGCATAATTTCCTAGAGATTCAACCAGGTTATGTTAAGACCCTGCCTTGTTTCTGCCACATGGAGACAGCAGTTCAGGTTTGCCATTCAAGCCTCTCTTGACACCCAAAGCAGGGAAAGGATACAAATGACTGCTGGGTAGAGGGTGGGAGTTCTAGATTCCCATGAGGTCTCCTCTGACTATTTAATACTGATCCCTCGTCACTATTCTATTTTCCACTCCTTTTATAAAACAAGAGCAAGTAGGGAAAAAACAATCAAATAATGGTAATTTGACATGAACTAAAATGCTACCTAATAAGAAACAGATAGAGGATTCACTATTCATTTCTAACCACAGCTAAGTGTAAGTTCAGCATAGTCTCTTCACTTCAGATAATCTGCTGCTGAAGTCTTAGCTAATACCTATGATCTCATAGTAGGTGACTGTTAGCTAAATCATTATAGATAATATAGAAAATTGGTTCCCCCTTTAAAAATTGTCTGACTTTGGTATTATACTTTCTAAAATCACATAAATGGAGACAATGTACAGACAATATAGTTAAATTATGATAAAAATAATAATAAAACAGGTATAAATATCTACATGATCATATCAATCATTTCAATTTTATACCTCCCATGCCTCCAATCTGTTATCTGTATATAAAAATGCTTCCCCCTAAAGGCTGTGTTCACTAAATTGTATCATTTTTTTCCTCTTGAGCAAACAAGAAGACTAAACTTCCCCGTATCTCTGGGACTTAAGTGGGGCCATGTTTAGTTCTGGGTAATGTATATGGAAATGGTATGTGTTAAAAGAGTTATCAAAAGGTAGTGTGTCTTCTCATGTCTATTTTCTTCAAACCAAGGGTGTGAAAGAGAAGAATTCCACCATAGGAGAAGCTTATCGTGGAAGAGATCTGAATGCCTGAATTACTTCTTGAAGGCAATCTTCCACAATGGATGATGATGTAGGAAATTAACTTTAGCTGTCTCAACGTATTGTGAATTAGGTGCTGTTTGCAACAATAGTGAAGAAGACACCAGTGATATAACTCAAGCTGTTTCAGACAAATCAGAAAGTGACAACAGATAACTCTATTTTCCCACTCAACTATATCCCAGACAGTTATCTTCACATGTCTAATAACACATGTACAAAACAAAAAACAGCCAAATGGAAAGTATGTTTGGCTTTATAATATAGTTTTAAAGACTGTCTTTCTTTGTTAACTTAGCACACTTGTGAATTTTTATTTATTATGCATATTTTCAATTAATTGTTATTTATTGAGTAATCACATAGTTCTGTGGTGAGAATTTTATAACATTAGAAAGAGGAAAATAATTACTAGAATGGAACTATATACCTGAAAACCAATTTTTTTTAAAAATGAAAAAGTAGATTAAATACAACAGCAATAAAAATTTAGATACCCTAAAGATTATCTAATAAATTCTTTACTTCAGATTTTTTCATAAGTCTCTTCTGATTTAACTGTTAGGTCTGGACAACAGCAAAGAAGACAGACTTAAGATGTCATGATTATAAATGAAACCTTAAAATCACTAAATCAGTAGTGATGCAAAAATAGTTCAATATTATAAAATGTATAAACATCACACCTATAGCCTCAAGGAGGACACACACACACTTTTAAGTACTTCTCCTATATATATACAAATATGTGTGTATATATATATATACACATAAAAGACTTTAAAAAATATGAGTTTAATGGTATAATTTCAGGTTCAGTTCAGTTCAGTTTATTTACACAGTCGAGTTTGACTCTTTCTGACCCCATGGACTGCAGCATGCCAGGATTCCCTGTCCATCACCAGATCCTGCAACTTGCTCAAACTCATGTCCATCCAGTCAGTGAGGCCATCCAATCATCTCATTCTCTGTCATCCCTTTCTCCTCCTGCCTTCAATCTTTCCCAGCATCGGGGGTCTTCCCAATGAGTCAGTTCTTTACATCAGGTGGCCAAAGTATTGGAGTTTCAGCTTTAGCATTAGTCCTTCCAATGAATATTCCAGACTGATTTCCTTTAGGATGGACTGGTTGGATCTCCATGCAGTCCAAGGGACTCTCAAGAGTCTTCTCCAACACCACAGTTCAAAAGCATCAATTCTTCAGGGCTTAGCTTTCTTTATGGTCCAACTCTCACATCCATACATGACTACTGGAAAAACCATACCTTTGATTATATGGACTTTCACTATTACTTTGTCAGCAAAGTAATGTCTCTGCTTTTTAATATGCTGTCTAGGTGGGTCTTAGCTTTTCTTCCAAGGAGCATTTTAATTTCATGGCTGCAGTCACCATCTGCAGTGATTTTGGAGCCCAAGAAAATAAAGTCCGTCACTGTTCCCATTGTTTCCCCATCTATTTTCCATGAAGTGATGGGACCAGATGCCATGATCTTAGGTTTCTGAATGTTGAGTTTTAAGGCAGCTTTTTCACTCCTCTCTTTCACTTTCATCAAGAGGCTCTTTAGTTCCCCTTCGCTTTATGCCATAAAGGTGGTGTCATCTGAATATCTGAAGTTATTGATATTTCTCCCAACAGTCTTGATTCCAACTTGTGCTTCATCCAGCCTGGCAGTTCTCATGATGTACTATGCACATAAATTAAATAAGCAGGATGACAATATATGGCCTTGACATACTCCTGTCCCAAAATTGAGCCAGTCTGTTCTTCCACGTCAGGTTCCAACTGTTGCTTCTTAACCTGCATACAGGTTTCACAGAAGGCAGGTAAGGTGGCCTGGTGTTCCCATCTCCTTAAGAATCTTCCAAAGTTTGTTGTGATCCACACAGTCAAAAGTTCTAGCATAGTTTATGAAGTAAAAGTAGATGTTTTTCGGAAATTCTCTTGCTTTTCCTATAATCCAATGGATGTTTGCAATTTGATCTCTGGTTCCTCTGCCCTTTCTAAATCCAGCTTCAGCATCTGGGAGTTCTCAATTCATGTACTGTGGAAGCCTGGCTTGGAGAATTTTGAGCATTACTTTGCTAGTATGTGAAATGAATGCAATTGTGCAGTAGTTTGAACATCCTTTTGCATTGCCCTTCTTTGGGGCTTGAATAAAAACACCATTTCCAGTACTGTGGCCACTGCTGAGTTTTCCATATTTGCTGGCATACTGAGTGCAGCACTTTAACACATCATCTTTTAGGATCTGAAATAGCTCAGCTGGAATTCCATCACCTCCACTAGCTTCTTTCATAGTGATGCTTCCTAAGGCCCACTTGACTTTACACTCCAAGACATCTGGCTCTAGTTGAGTGATCATACCATTGTGGTTATCTGGATCACGAAGATCTTTTTCGTATAGTTCTTCTGTGTATTCTTGCAACTTCTTAGTATCTTCTGTTTCTGTTAGTTCCATACCATTTCTGTCCTTTATTGTGCCCATCTGTGCATGAAATGTTCCCTTGGTATCTTGAATTTTCTTTAAGAGATCGCTAGTCTTTCCCATTGTATTGTTTTCCTCTGTTTCTTTGCTGGGATCACTGAGGAAGGCTTTCTTATCTCTCCTCGCTATTCTTTGGAACTCTGCATTCAGATGGGTCTATCTTTCCTTTTCACCTTTACCTTTTGCTTCTCTTCTTTTCTCAGCTATTTGTAAGGCCTCCTCAGACAATCATTTTGCTTTTTGCATTTCTTTTTCTTGGGAAAGGTCTTGATCACCATCTCTTGTCCAATGTTACAAACCTCTGTCCATAATTTTTAAGACACTCTGTCTATCAGATCTAATTCTTGAATCTATTTATCACTTCCACTGAATAAAGGTAAGTGATCTGATTTAGGTCATATATGAATGGCCTAATGGTTTTCCCTGCTTTCTTCAATTTAAGTCTGAATTTTGCAATAACAAGTTCATGGTCTGAGTCACGGTCAGCTCCTGATCTTGTTTTTGATGACTATATAGAGGTTGTTCATCTTCGACTGAAAAGAATATAATCAATCTTATTTTGCTATTGACCATCTGGTGATCTCCATGTGTAGAAAGGTCTCTTGAGTTGATGGAAGAGAGTGTATGCTATGACTAACACATTCTCCTGGCAAAACTCTTATATAAGCCTTTGCTCTGCTTCCTTTTCTACTCTAAGGCCAAACTTGTCTGTTACTCCAGGTATCTCCTGACCTCTTATTTTTGCATTCCAGTCCCCTATGATGAAAAGGACATCTTTTTGTGGTGTTAATTCTAGTAGGTCTTGTAGGACTTTATAGAACCGTTCAACTTCAGCTTCTTCGGCATTACTGGTTGGGCCGTAGACTTGGATTACTGTGATATTGAATGGTTTGCCTTGGAAACGAAGAGAGATCATTCTGTCATTTTTGAGACTGCACCCAAGTACTGCATTTCAGACTCTCTTGTTCACTGAGAGGGCTACTCCATTTCTTCTAAGGGATTCTTGCCCACAGGAGTAGATATAATGGGCATCTGAATTAAATTCACCCATTACAGTCAATTTTAGTTCACCGATTGCTAAAATGTCAATGTTCACTCTGTCTATCTCCTGTGTGACCACCTCTGATTTACCTTGATTCATGGACCTAACATTCCAGGTTCCTATGCAATATCGTTCTTTACAGCATCAGAGTTTACTTTCACCACAAGACATATCCACAACTGGGTGCTGCTTCCGTTTTGGCTCAGCCTCTTCATTCCTTAAGGAGTTATTTCTCCACTCTTCTCCAGTAGCATACTGGGCACCTACTGATATGGGAAGTTCATCTTTTAGTGTCATATCTTTCTGCCTTTTCATACTGTTCATGGGGTTCTCAAGGCAAGAATGCTGAAGTGGTTTGCCATTCTCTTCTCCAGTGGACCACACTTTGTCAGAACTCTCTACCATGACCTGTCTTCTAAAGAGACCCATGATTCGTCTCTTACGAAGTCTTAAAATTTTCATGGTTTCTAATTAGGGGTTCTTATAACCCCTATTCACATGTCAACCATTGGAAAAACAAGCGATTTTTTTCTATCTTCCTGTTTTGGTGAGTATAAGGTCTTGAAATCATTTAGCAGCAATTTCACCCATGTTGTGCCTTTCAATTTCTTGAAGATTCACCAACCACCCCCACCCCCCCCCCAACCACACACATACAAAATCCCTGAACCGAAATGTCAGCCAGGCTATAGGGGAAACATGTAGAAATTTAGCCTGGTAACAAAATCATGACAATATCACAGTAGCAGAAAATGTCAATGCCATTATAGCAAAATATGACAGTCACTAAGTATAAATCACTATCTTCCAAAAATCACCTTTTATTATCTGAAAACATCCTTCTTTTTGGCTCTAATTTACTAGCTTACCTTGACAAGAATGATTATTTCGTGTTTCACAAAAGCATTAGAAATCTTACACTGGTCAAAGTTCATTTAGTAGACAAAAGCTATCAGTTGTATGCCTGAAACGAATACATTATATGACAATCATATCTCATTAGAAGTATTTGTTTAAAGCTTTCAATAAAGTAAAAAGGTAGTGAGTGGTGATAACATCATGACCCACAGGTATACACAACTATGGAAATGTATATGTGGTAAATTTAGAGTGTAAAATCTTTGAATGAAGGTATAAAACTTGTTAGAATTTGTCACAACAGTGTGTAAAAATTGCTCTGGGTTGTAACAGAGATCATGAGCATTATCATGCTGACCTGAATTTCCTCCCAGATGTCTTCATCCAGTAAGGTGGCCGCCCTGTGGTGCTGCAAAGGGACTACCAAGCAGTGTCCTTCAGTAAGAGAGCGCACACTGGGTAAACACAAATAAGCCTACGGGGAAAAGAGATGCAAAGGTGAAATGCTACCGCTATTCGTTCTCAGCTCTGAGAGATGAGCCCCTCGTAGGTCAATATGGCTACCATGTAATACAATATATCTGTTCATAATACACCATACTTTAATATTTTGAAGATATTCACAAGTTAAAACTTTAAAAGACATGAAGATGCCTTTTAATAAACCAGAAATTTATTGCAGAAGTCTCAATTTTGACTAAGATACCTCAAAGATGAAACCTACCAAAGGGGAGAATGATAAACATTTTATCCTTCACCTGAGAAAGCTACATGTCTTCAGAGCCCTTGAAACAACACAAATTTTGCAAAAAAAAAAAAAAAAAAAAACAAGATCTGGTAATGATATGGAAGTTAAACTGATGCCTATTAATAATTAGCTAAGAAAAGAGACATAACTTCTACATGGCTTTATAGCACTGCTTAACTTCTATTTATTTATATACATGTATTACCTAGAAGCTGGCACTATTTCTCCATTTTATACAAACTGTATTATTTGAAAAAAGGTCAAAAAGGTCAATTACTATACATGTAGACAGCAAAAGGTATTCATAAGGACCATAAGTATTCTTCAAAGTGGCTTGATCTTATTTTCTATAACTTTTTGGTTAGGTTTTAGCTAGAAAAACTTTATATAAGAGAAATAATGAATACCCTTTATCTATTAACTGATTAGTTGCTTTAAAATAGTGCAAATTTTAAATTCTTTGGTATTTGAATGAAGAACTAGGAGTGTATATGAATATGGCTATATATACTTAAATTTACAGTTAAATCACAACAATATTCACTATTAAAAGCAATATCAGGAATAAGCATTGGAGAGGTGACTAAGATGGTAGAGTAGGAAGACCCTGTATTCACTTCCTCCTACAGCCACAACAAAACTACAACTAATTACAGAGCAACTATCTATAAGAACCACCTGAACACTAGCAGAAACGATATTCTGCAACTAAATACATAAAGAAGAAGCCACAACAAGATAAGTAACAGGTGAAGATCCACTATCGTTAGGACATACATCCCCAGGTCAGCAACCCACAAACAAGAGGATTATGATAGTCATAGAGGTCCTCCACAAGGAGCAAGGAATTTGAATCCCACATTGGGCTCCCAGGCAGGGGGCTTGCACCATGAAGATGAGCTCCCAGAATGTCTGGCTTTGAAAGCCTTCAAGGCTTGCATATGAGAGAGATCCCACAGGCATTAGGAAACAGGGACTTCATTCTTAAAAGCTGCATGCAAAATCTCACACTCTCTGAGTCATAGCACAGAGACAGTAGTTTCAAAGTAGCCTAGTTCAGATCCCTCCCACTTGCCGACCTTTAAGTGCCTCTGAGAGAGGCAAGAAGTGATTGGGACTATCCTTGGGGACAGAGAAGCTGGTGGCACCCATTCAAGGCAGCTCGTTCTACCTCATTTACCAGCATAGGCAACCAGTATTTCAAACCTTCCCTCTAGCTAATAGTGCCAAGGACCAGGCCTGCCCCACAGCAAGCTAGCACCCGCCCCAATCCCCACCGGTCACGTGTGAACCTCTTGGGAAGCCACGCCACCCCAAATCAGCAAGATGGCAGCAGCCCTAGGCCCTACAGGGTGACACAGCTAACCATGAGGAAAGCCTACCATGCACTCCAGCAGGCCTGCAGTCACATCAAGAGGTTACTTCTAAAGATGGGAAGAAGTAACTGATCTACCTAATAAAGAGAAATAAAACTGAAATTTGGGTAAAACAGGTGATGAAAGAAATGCTCCAAGTGAAGGAAGAAGACATCACATCAGGGACTTCCCTGGTAGTCGAGTGGTTAAGAATCTGCCTGTCAATGCAGGGGATACAGGTTAGATTCCCTGGTCCAGGAGGAATCCAGATGGTGCAGGACAACTAAGCCTGTGTGCCACAACTAGCAAGCCCACGCTCTGGAGCCTGCCCACCGCAGAGCCTGTGCTCTGCAAGAGGAGAAGCCACTGCAGTAAGAAGCCTGCACACTGCAACCAGCGAATACTCCCTGCTCACCGCAACTGGAGAGAGCCATGCACAAAGAAAATCGAGTACAGCCAAAAATAAACACATGGAAAGAGTGGCTTCACTATTTAAAAAAAACATAACCTGGCGGGGAGGGAAACCACTAAACAAAGATAAGCAATTGATCCAATAGTTCAAGATGATGATTATAAATATGCTAGTGAAACTTCAGAAAAGAAGGGATGAATACAGTGACAATTTCAAAGAGAAAATATAAAGAAGAACCAAAGAGTACTAAAGGTTCAAGAACTAAAGTGAAAGTATATACTAGAAGGAATCAACAGTATGTTACACGATACAGAGGAACTGATCAGAGAGCTGGAAGACAGTAATGTAAATCACTCAAGCTGAGGAACAACAACAACAAAAAAGGATTTTAGCAGTGAGACTAGTTTACGAGAGACCTCTGAGACAACATCAAGCAGACTAATATTCACATTATAGGTGTTCCAAAAGAAGAAGAGAAAGAACAGGGGTACAAAATCTATTCAATGAATCTAGTCAATGAAACTATGGCTGAAAACTTCCCGAACCTCAAGAAGGAAACAGATATCCAGTTATAGAGGCACAGAAATTTCCAAACAAGAGGAATGTGACATGTCTGCACAAAGAAAGATGATAATTATAATGGTAAAAATTAAAAATGAAGAAAGAATCTTAACCGCAGCAAGAGAAAAGCAACTAGTTACATATAATGTAACTCCCACAAGGCCATCAGCTAACTTCAACAGAAACTGCAGGGCAGAAAGGAACTGAATGATATCTTTCAAGTGATGAGAAGAAAAAACCTACCGCCACAATACTTGGCAAGGTTATCATGCAGGTTTGAAAGAGAGTAAAAGTGTTTTACAGACAACTAAAAGCAAAAAGAGTTCAGTACTCCTGAAGAGGCTTTACAAGAAATAATAAAAGGACTTAGGGGCTTCCCTGGTGGCTCAGATGGTAAACAATCTGCCTACAATGCAGGAGACCCAGTTTGATCCCTGGGTTGGGAAGATCCCCTGGAGAAGGGAATGGCAACCCACTCCAGTATTCTTGCCTGGAAAATTCCATAGACAGAGGAACCTGGTGGGCTACAGTCCATGGAGTGGCAAAGAGTTGGACATGACTGGGTGACTTTCACTAAGTAGAAAAGGAAAGGCCATAATAGAAAGAAAATTATGAAAGGAAAAATCTCACTGGCAAAGGAAAATATATATTAAAGGTCAAAGCTAGCAGGAAGGTTAAGAGATGAAAGTAATAAAATTATCCTTATCCACAGTAAGTAGTTAAGGAATATGCAAAACAGAAAGATGTAAAATATGACAACAAAAACATCAAACATGGGGGTGAGGGCATTAAAATGTATTGTGGTTAGAATGAGTATAAACTTAATAGATCATGAATTTAAAATAATGATTTTACATTTACATAAGTGTGTGGGGTAAGTGCTCAGTCATGTCCGACTCTTTGCAATTCCATGGACTGTAGCCCATCAGGCTCCTCTGTCCATGGGATTCTCCAGGCAAGAATACTGGAGTGGGTTGCCATTTCCTACTCCATGGGATCTTCCTGACCCAGGGATACAATCCACGTCTTCACCTCTGCACCACTTGGAAAGCCAATTAGTATATATATGTAAATATAAATGATGCTACATATGAACATCAGGGTAAGAAAAAAATACACTTTAATATTTTTGTTTTGTTACCATAAAATTTTGTTTTGTTACACATGAAACTTTAATATACATATATATATACACAAAAAAGAAAAAGTAGTCCAAATTTAATACTTACGCTGTTCAGTCGCTAAGTCATGTCCAACTCTGTGCAATCCCATGGACTATAGCACACCAGGCTTTCCTGTCCATTACCTCCTGAGTTTGTCCATTGAGTCAGTGATGCCATCCAACCATCTCATCCTCTGTCATCCCCTTCTCTTGCCCTCAGTCTTACCCAGCATCAGGGTCTTTTCCAGTGAGCTAGCTCTTTATATCAGGTGGCCAAAGTACTGGAGCTTCACCTTCAGCATCAGTCCTTCCAATGAATATTCAGGGTTGTTTTCCTTTAGAATTGACTGGTTTGATCTCCTTTCAGTCCAAGGGACTCTCCAGTCTTCTTTAGCACCACAGCTCGAAAACATTCATCTTCGGCCAGCAGTCTTCTTCATGGTCTAACTCTCACATCTGTACATGACTACTGGAAAAACTATATCCTTGACTATATGGACCTTTGTTGGCAAAGTGATGTCTCTACTTTTTAATATGCTGTCTAGGTTTGTCATAGCTTTTCTTCCAAGGAGAAAGTCTCTTAATTTAGTGGCTGCAGTCACTGTCTGCAGTGATTTTGGAGCCCAAGAAACTGAGATCTGTCACTGTTTCCATTGCTTCCCCATCTATTTGCATGAAGTGATGGGACTGGATGCCATGATCTTCTTTTATGAATGCTGAGTTTTAAGCCAGCTTTTTTATTCTCCTCTTTGATCTTCAAGATGCTCTTTAGGGACGGGATGGGAAAGGAGGTGGGGGGGCGTTCAGGATGGGGAACACATGTACACCCATGGCAGATTCAAGTCAATATATGACAAAAGCAATACTATGTTGTAAAGTAAAATAAATAAATAAATAAATAAATAAATAAATAAATAAGATGCTCTTTAGTTCCTCTTCACTTTCTGCCATTAGAGTGGTATCATCAGCATATCTGAGGTGCTGATATTTCTCCTGGCAATCTTGATTCCAGCCTGTGCCTCATCCAGCCCAGCACTTGGCATGATATACTCTACATATAAGTTAAATAAGCTGGGTGACAATATACAGCCTTGACGTATGCCTTTCCCAATTTTTAACCAGTCCATTGTTCCATGACTGGTTTGAACTGTTGCTACTTGACCTGCACACAGGTTTCCAGGAGGCAGGTAAGGTGGTCTGGTATTTCTATCTTTTTTACAATTTTCCACAGTTTGTT